TAGTAATAAGTTGTGATCTCTCTGGAAATAGTTGGGTTTGTAAATAGTAATAAGTTGTGATCTCTCTGGAAATAGTTGGGTTTGTAAATAGTAATAAGTTGTGATCTCTCTGGAAATAGTTGGGTTTGTAAATAGTAATAATTTAGGATTTTATTTCTCATGTTATTAACACATTTATTTATTTTTTTACTTCTTTTAGGTCCGCTTCTAATATTCTGATGATATTACCTAAGATTTCAATTACCTTACTGTTTGTTTGTAATTAAGCACAAAGCTACACAATAGGCTATCTGTGCTCTGCCCACCACGGGTATCGAAACCTGGATTCTAGCGGTGTAAGTCCACAGACATACCGCTGTGCCACTGGGGGACTTACCTTACTGAGAAAAAACACAAAGAATTTTAATCTCACGCAAATCAAACTAAGTTACTATATTAACACTAAACAGATGTGAGATAGCATTAGAGATTCAGTCCCACGTACCTACAGGGTTAACTTAAAGTCTTAAAATACCAAAACTCAGGGTTCAATGCTTGTGACAAAAACAGTGCAGATAGCCAATTGTGCAATTGTGTACTAAAAAAAGGAACTAAATCGTAGCTTGTACCTTAAGATTGTAGTAAGTGTTCACGAAAACATAAAATTATCTGTTTATTTGAAGGACAGAGGGAAAAAGGAAATGACTTCAAGACAGAAAAACGATTTTGCTTGAAAAACCACTTTGAAATTTTAATTAATTTCTTAGCATTATTATATTGTATATTAAGGATTTTTTTGTTTTTTTATAGCAAAGTCACATTGAGCTATCTGCAGTGTCCATCGAGGGGGAATCGAACCCCTGATTTTAATATTGTAAATCTATAGACTTACCACTGTCCCGCTGGAGGACATGTGTGTATAAAGAATACAATTAACTTCTTAGCAAAGTCATTTTTTTTTAGTTACTTTTAGTTAACTCCTTAGTGAAATCAAATTCTACATTAAACATACTGAGTAAATTTTTAATGAAATTGGTTTGTGTACTAAAGATTTTGGTTAACTTGGTGAAATAAGCTTGTTATAATAAATACTTTGGTTCATTCCTTGCTAGGGGAAAAGGACCTTGTTGAGAGCCTCATATTTGATGCTAAGTCTACCAATGTTGACTGGAAGAATTGTAGAAAAACAAAGGGGTAGGTGATATTTTGAAGGATTATGGTATTTTTTTAGGGCTGATTGTTACACTTTTATATACGTGATTAATTTTTTCTATCTTAATACACATTTGTTAGTCCAAGATTTTTCATTTTCAGCTGAACATATGCACATTGTTCTATACAAGGCCATCATTAACTTATCATGCTGATACTACCAGGCCTGTTAGATACCTTTATGTTACTCTTAGGCCTTTCATATACCTTGGTGGTAATATTAGGCCTGTAATATACATTGCTGATAGTATCGGATCTTCCTCATATCTTAGTGTTATTACCAGGTCTTCCGTATATTTTGGTAATATTATCAGGCCTTTCTGATAACTTGGTGATAGTATCAGGCTTTTCAGATAACTTGGTGGTATTATCAGGCCTTTCATATACCTTGGTGGTAATATTAGGCCTGTAATATACATTGCTGATAGTATCGGATCTTCCTCATATCTTGGTGTTATTACCAGGTCTTCCGTATATTTTGGTAATATTATCAGGCCTTTCTGATAACTTGGTGGTATTATCAGGCCTCTCAGATAACTTGGTGATAGTATCAGGCCTTTCAGATAACTTGGTGGTATTATCAGGCCTTTCAGATAACTTGGTGATAGAATCAGGTCTTTCAGATATGTTTATGACCTTATCAGTTCTTTCAGACATGTTTATGATCTTATGTTTTTCAGATACTTTTATGATGTTATCAGGTGTTATGCATACTTCAATGACGTGTACTTAGGTGATATTTTCAGATCTTTTTGTGATACTATAGATTGGCAAAACATTTGCTTCTGCATACCTAGTTTATGGTACAGGTTGTTCTGAATTTATTTATAAATGTTTTGTAAAAATATTTGGTCATATCCAAGAAATAATCTTTCTTGAATATATTGATATGCCCCCTTTTTTATTTTTAAAGTTTATGTGTCCAAGGGAATGTATGGTAATGCTAGAAAGTTCTACAAGCCAAACTTGATGTGACTTGTCAGGATTTCACCAGCCACACTTGATGTGATTTGTCAGGATTTCACCAGCCATACTTGATGTGATTTGTCAGAGTTTCACTAGCTGCACTTGATGTGATTAGTCAGGATTTCACAAGCCACACTTGATGTGATTTGTCAGGATTTCACAAGCCACTTGATGTGATTTGTCAGGATTTCACAAGCCACACTTGATATGACTTGTCAGAGTTTCACAAGCCACACTTGATGTGATTTGTCAGGATTTCACAAGCCACACTTGATGTGATTTGTCAGGATTTCACAAGCCACACTTAATGTGATTTGTCAGTATTTCACAAGCCACACTTGATGTGATTAGTCAGGATTTCACAAGCCACTCTTGATGTAATTTGTCAGGATTTCACCAGCCACACTTGATGTGATTTGTCAGTATTTCACAAGCCACACTTGATGTGATTTGTCAGGATTTCACAAGCCACTTGATGTGATTTGTCAGGATTTCACAAGCCACACTTGATATGACTTGTCAGAGTTTCACAAGCCACACTTGATGTGATTTGTCAGGATTTCACAAGCCACACTTGATGTGATGTGTTTAGTTTCTCTTTGCACTATTTTTCTCACATGTAATATTTTGAACAGCCACATGTGTTAGGCTTTCACTAGGCACAATTTTTTTTATATGCCAGATTTTTGGATTTTTCAAGTAAGAAAATATAATTTAGCTTTGGAATAGACTTTTTGTACTGTTTACCATGTACCTACTGGCCATCCTGTTATGGTTTGTGTACTGTTTACCATGTACCTACTGGCCATCCTGTGAGGTTTTTGTACTGTTTACTATGTACCTACTGGCCATCCTGTTATGGTTTGGGTACTGTTTACCATGTACCTACTAGCCATCCTGTGAAATTTTTGTACTGTTTACCATGTACCTACTGGCCATCCTGTGAGGATTCTGTACTGTTTACCATAGACCTACTGGCCATCCTG